TCCGTATTTTCTATTTCTCGATTTTTAATTAATCAGTTTTTCGATTTTACAGTTTCTTTTTTTTAATTTTTCAAATTTTCAGTTGTTTTTTCAATTATCGAAGTTTTCAGTTTCTCAAGTACAATTACAATTACAATTTTTAAATTTCTCGGTGTTCAACTTTCGGTTTTTCTATTTTTGATTTTCAATTTTGCAATTGTTCGATTTTTCTGTTTTTTAAATTTGCAGTTTTTTTCATTTTCAAGGTTCAATTTTTCCTTTTCCAATTGTTGACGTCTTAATTATTCGATTTTGAGTTTTGTTATTTTTGCAGGTCTTCGGTTTCTCAGTTTTTCAGTTTTACAATTTTCCGATTTTTTTGATTTTTTGAAATTTCATTTTTAATATGGTTGTCCTTTTCCAAGTTTCATTTCTTCGATTTTTTATTTTCTCAATTCGAGATTTTTAAATTCTTGTTTTTTTTTAATTGTTAATTTTTCAATTTTTCCGTGTTTCGTATTTACATTGTTCGATTTCTCGATTTTTTTAGTTTTTCTTTTGGCTTTTTAATTACCCGATTTTTCAGTTTCTGTATTTTTTCAAATCTTTGAATTCTCGGTTTTTAGATTTTTCAGTTTTTCAGTGTTTCTTCTTTTCGATGTATAATTTTTCAATTTTTCCGTTTCTTTTTTACAATTTCTTAATTTTTTAGTTTTCAGGTTTCCATTTTAAAATTTTTGGATTTTGATTTTTTTTTGTATTTTTGATTGTTTAATTTATATAAGTTTTTGTTTTTCGTTTTTTCAGTTTTTCACTTTCTCCATTTTTAATTAATCACGGTTTTCAGGTTTTAATATTACAATTTTTCGATTTTTCAATTGTTTTTCAATTATCCCATTGTTCAATTTCTCAATTTTTTCATTTTTCTATTTTTCAATTTTCAAATTTTTCGATATTTCAAGTTTCATTTTTTCGGTTTTTTCAAGTTTTCTTTACTTTTTCAGTTCTTCGATTTCTCAATTTTTTCATTTTTCAATTCAATTCAAAATTTCGGTTTGAATCAAGTTGTCCTTTTCTTGGACAATTAAAAAATGACAAATCGAGAAAATGAAGAAACAATAATCGAGTGTTATCGATGTTACAATTATTCGATTTTGCAAAATTTTAATTTGGTTAAAATTGGAAATCAAGAGCTTGAAAATAGCAAAATTGTTTCGTTTTTACAATTTTTCAATTTTTCGGTGTCTCGATTTTTTGGTTTCTCGATTTTCATTTTGAAATTTTTAGATTTTCATTTTAAAATTTTTGTATTCTTCATTGTTTCAACGATACAATTTTCCGATTTTCCAATATTTTAGTTTGGATAAATTTGTTCTTTTGCTGAAAAATAAAGAAAACACGAAATTGAAAAATTAAAAAACTATAAAAGTTTAAAACTCAAAAAATTGTAAAATCGAAGAACTAACAAAGCAAAAAATTGGTCTAAAGAGTTTAGACAGTACTTCGCTCGCTGTCGGAAATGTGACGACTGCATGTCTATTATGTTTTTTTTTCGCAGTAGATTTCATTATTTTTTTTGAGTCACCCGGTATATGCAAATTCAAAAAATATGAATGGAATGATAAATTACAAAGTACAGACTCATCATTTTTGTATATTCTAAATAGGATTTATTCGGCAAATTTTTGAGCTGACGTCATCAGTTTTTTGTAGAAGATAACCAAATATATTTTGACTAAAAATTTATAATGCTCTTTATAACCTTAAAACATTTGCAAGATTTCAAAACATTCGGTTCTGGAGTTCCTGATTAAATCAATAAAATACATTTACCCATTCATTATTTTTTTTGAGTCACCTTGTATATGCAAATCCAAAAAATATGAATGGAGTGATAAATGACAAGTACAGACTCATCATATTTTGTACAGTTTACATAGGATTTATTTGGCAAACTTTTGAGCTGACGTCATCAAGTTTTTGGAGGGGATAACCAAATATTTCGAAACATTCGAGTTAGCAGATTCAAAATTAAATTGCAAAATGTTGTTTTATAATTTTGATTTTTTTTCCAAAAATCTGGACGTTTCGGGTAAGCATTTTTAAGTTTTTGTTGTCGATTTTTCAAATTCTCGATTTTTATTTCGTCAGTTTTTCAGGTTTCAATGTTATAATTTTTAGATTTGACAGTTTCTCGGTTTTTCAATTTTTACATTTTAAGATATTTTTATTTTTTGATTTTTCAATTGTTGATTTTTTACTTTCGCTATTTTTTCAACATTTCGGTATTTCCATTTTTTTTATTGTTCAATGTTTCATTTTTTTCAAGTTTTCAGTTTTTTTATTTTACGGTTTTTCGATGTTTATTTTGACATTCTTCAACTTTTGAATTTTACAATTTGTCGATTTTCCTATTTCTAGAAAATTTTGTTTTCCGTATTTTCTATTTCTCGATTTTTAATTAATCAGTTTTTCGATTTTACAGTTTCTTTTTTTTAATTTTTCAAATTTTCAGTTGTTTTTTCAATTATCGAAGTTTTCAGTTTCTCAAGTTTTAATATTACAATTTTTAAATTTCTCGGTGTTCAACTTTCGTTTTTTCTATTTTTGATTTTCAATTTTGCAATTTTTTTAAATTTGTTTTTTAAATTTGCAGTTTTTTTTCATTTTTAAGGTTCAATTTTTCCTTTTCCAATTGTTGACCTCTTAATTATTCGATTTTGAGTTTTGTTATTTTTGCAGGTCTTCGATTTCTCAATTTTTCAGTTTTACAATTTTCCGATTTTTTTGATTTTTTAAAATTTCATTTTTAATATGGTTGTCCTTTTCCAAGTTTCATTTCTTCGATTTTTTATTTTCTCAATTCGAGATTTTTAAATTCTTGTTTTTTTTTAATTGTTAATTTTTCAATTTTTCCGTGTTTCGTATTTACATTGTTCGATTTCTCGATTTTTTTAGTTTTTCTTTTGGCTTTTTAATTACCCGATTTTTCAGTTTCTGTATTTTTTCAAATCTTTGAATTCTCGGTTATTAGATTTTTCAGTTTTTCAGTGTTTCTTCTTTTCGATGTATAATTTTTCAATTTTTCCGTTTCTTTTTTACAATTTCTTAATTTTTTAGTTTTCCGGTTTTCATTTTAAAATTTTTGGATTTTGATTTTTTTTTGTATTTTTTATTGTTTAATTTATATAAGTTTTTGTTTTTCGTTTTTTCAGTTTTTCACTTTCTCCATTTTTAATTAATCACGGTTTTCAGGTTTTAATATTACAATTTTTCGATTTTTCAATTGTTTTTTCAATTATCCCATTGTTCAATTTCTCAATTTTTTCATTTTTCTATTTTTCAATTTTCAAATTTTTCGATATTTCAAGTTTCATTTTTTCGGTTTTTTCAAGTTTTCTTTACTTTTTCAGTTCTTCGATTTCTCAATTTTTTCATTTTTCAATTCAATTCAAAATTTCGGTTTGAATCAAGTTGTCCTTTTCTTGGACAATTAAAAAATGACAAATCGAGAAAATGAAGAAAAAATAATCGAGAATTTGAAAAATGTTGTATCGAAAAATTGCAGAACTGTTCCTTTTTGTCGATTTTTCAATTTCTCGATTTTTAATTGTTGCATTTTTTAAAGTTTCGGTGTTACAATTATTCGATTTTGCAAAATTTTAATTTGGTTAAAATTGGAAATCAAGAGCTTGAAAATAGCAAAATTGTTTCGTTTTTACAATTTTTCAATTTTTCGGTGTCTCAATTTTTTAGTTTCTCGATTTTCACTTTGAAATTTTTAGATTTTCATTTTAAAATTTTTGTATTCTTCATTGTTTCAACGATACAATTTTCCGATTTTCCAATATTTTAGTTTGGATAAATTTGTTCTTTTGCTGAAAAATAAAGAAAACACGAAATTGAAAAATTAAAAAACTATAAAAGTTTAAAACTCAAAAAATTGTAAAATCGAAGAACTAACAAAGCAAAAAATTGGTCTAAAGAGTTTAGTTTCATTATTTTTTTTGAGTCACCCGGTATATGCAAATTCAAAAAATATGAATGGGATGATAAATTACAAAGTACAGACTCATCATTTTTGTATATTCTAAATAGGATTTATTCGGCAAATTTTTGAGCTGACGTCATCAGTTTTTTGTAGAAGATAACCAAATATATTTTGACTAAAAATTTATAATGCTCTTTATAACCTTAAAACATTTGCAAGATTTCAAAACATTCGGTTCTGGAGTTCCTGATTAAATCAATAAAATACATTTACCCATTCATTTTTTTTTTGAGTCACCCTGTATATGCAAATCCAAAAAATATGAATGGAGTGATAAATGACAAGTACAGACTCATCATATTTTGTACAGTTTACATAGGATTTATTTGGCAAACTTTTGAGCTGACGTCATCAAGTTTTTGGAGGGGATAACCAAATATATTTTGACTAAAGATTTATGATGCTCCTTAGAGCCTTAAAACATCTGCAACATTTCAAAACTTTCGGGTTAGCAGATTCAAAATTAAATTGCAAAATGTTTTTATAATTTTGATTTTTTTTCCAAAAATCTGGACGTTTCGGGTAAAAACTGAATTCGGAGTCGTAAACTACATGTGTAGGACTATGTTATTTTATACAATTTAAGACCTATTTACTATGTACAATTTTGAAGTGACGTCATCGCATTAGTGGTGGGGATGATTAGACAAATTTCAGTTAGCGTTTTACCATCTACATGATATTCTTAATATAAGTACAAAATTTCACAACAATCGGTCGAGTACTTTCGGAGATTATCTGTCTAATAAAAATCCGGGACGGCAGACAGACGGACAGACAGACGGAAATTTCTTCGTCTTCTAGGGGTCATGAAAGATCGAGAAAACGTAAAAGTAGAGAGTCGGCCGACGTACTCGATTAATAAAGCAATAATTCAGGAATGTAACTGTGGTGTTCAAATTTGCCATATTTAGGACCAACGAGACGCAAACAACGCCAATTTTTTGACCAGTAATCAAGAAAATTCTACCTCGGGTGTGCTAGGATCAGACCCCTTAGTTTTAAGCGGCGTCCGATCGGCGCTCCTGTTTAAAATTTGGGCTGCTTGAATTGCATGTTCGCTGTCCGGCGTTTCCACCAAGTCGGGCATTGCGGATGGGGGCTGCCGCGGGATGCACGGTCCGTTGAGAGCTTCAATCAAAGACACGGCTTCATAACCCGGCGGAATGTTATCACAGCTCCCCTAAAGTCAGCTTTAAAAATTTACAAACTCGATATAGTAGGACTCACGTCTGGTGGGTTGATGGAGGCCAGGCTCGGGTTGGCGCACTTCTGGAGGGCCCGGATTTGCAGCAAAGCCCTGAATGGGGCCCGGCAAATCGGGCAGTTGTTGGCTTGGTATCTCAAGGAGTCAGCGCAGGAGTTGCACAGACACAAGTGGCGACAGGGCAGGATTAAGGTGTCGCGGACGTCGCACATGCAAATCACGCATTCGGAACCGTTGTCTTCGGTCTCGTCGTCGCCGGATTGCTACAATAAATCGCGTAATGAGAGTCAAACAAACAACGAAACTACCTTGTCGTTATTTTTGTTTTCAATACCGTAGATTTCTTGCAGGAGGTAGCAAAGCCCGTCGACGAACAACTTCTGTTTGAGAGCTTTAAGAACGTATGTACCATCTGATAATTTTTCAGCAGTGGCTATAGTAGTGTGTGATTGTCGCATTTCTACAAATAAAAAAAAAAATAAAAATATATACAGGGTGTGACGACAATACAACCTTCAGCGCCCTCTTCCGCGACACAATGAATCGCAATTGGAATGATTTCACGATCGACGTCATACAACAACTCCTCTTCAGTGTACTTAGACGGATCAAAAATGTGAGTCATTTGACAAAACTGCTGATTAGCACCTCTCTTATAATGGAATGTTTCTGAAGTCATGGCGGCATCTCGTGGCACATACCTTAACAACAACACTTAAATCGTGATAAATTTGACTAAACACACTTACGTGACGCCATTTGGTCCGAAATCCTCGCTACAAAAGTAGTAAATTGTGATAGCACAGCGCACGTCGCAGTCAAACGTGAACTCAATATTGAACGTCGAACTTTTCCCCAATTCCACGTCTCGTATGTCCCTCTCATTTTTCTCCACCGGTTTTGAATAGTCCGCTGGAGCCCTAACAAACCGCAGCGACTCCTTCCGGATATTCACCAGACTTTTGAGCGTTTTCGTGGGTTCGTTGGGTTGCGGAGGAGGATATGGAAACTACAAACATCGCTAGAAATCAGCGCTTCGTTTGAAAATTGACTTACAGGTGTCGGTCGACTCCCCAGAAAGTTGAGATCTGAGTTTTCTCCAAACAGGTACGATTCGGGCTGCGGTGTGTCGAATCGTTCGCCCCCCATGATAAAGTGACTCCCGAAGTAGTTGCCTTTCGAAAAACAAAAATTAACAGTGTTTGTGGGGTTGATTAAGTGGTGTCGTACCAGATCTGGGTGGGTACTTGTACGCGTGATTCGAGACCACGTCGACCTCCTCGACTCCGGCGTGTTGTCTGCTGGCCAGGGAACCCATCTCAGGTGGCGAAAATAGACTTAATTTAAAAAAAAAGCCAAATTTCTTTAATTTGACATATTTTTATTTTGACGTGTGTCAAACAAAATGGTTTTGGGGACGGATCTGTCGAAGTCGAACTGTGCCAACCTGACAAAGCGCCAACACAAATTCCCCTATTTGTAAGCATTTTTTTTTAATTCGCATCGATTTTTGAAGTTTTTAAGATCCTTAGCTGTCCGATTTTAGGCTTTCTCAGTTTTTCGATTTTTATTTTGGAGTTCTTGCATTTTTAAAGTTTTTGTTGTCGATTTTTCAAATTCTCGATTTTTATTTCGTCAGTTTTTTCAGGTTTGACAGTTTCTCGTTTTTTCGATTTTTACATTTTAAGATATTTTTATTTTTTGATTTTTCAATTGTTGATTTTTTACTTTCGCTATTTTTTCAACATTTCGGTATTTCATTTTTTTTTTATTGTTCAATGTTTCATTTTTTTCAAGTTTTCAGTTTTTTTATTTTACGGTTTTTCGATGTTTAGTTTGACATTCTTCAATTTTCGAATTTTACAAGTTGTCGATTTTCCTATTTCTAGAAAATTTTGTTTTCCGTATTTTCTATTTTTTTTTTTATTTTTCAAATTTTCAGTTGTTTTTCAATTATCGAAGTTTTCAGTGTCTCAAGTTTTAATATTACAATTTTTGGATTTCTCGGTGTTCCAACTTTCGTTTTTTTCTATTTTTGATTTTCAATTTTGCAATTGTTCGATTTTTCTGTTTTTTAAATTTTCAGTTTTTTTCATTTTTAAGGATCAATTTTTCCTTTTCCAATTGTTGACCTCTTAATTATTCGATTTTGAGTTTTGTTATTTTTGCAGTTCTTCGATTTCTCAATTTTTCAGTTTTACGATTTTCCGATTTTTTTGATTTTTAAAATTTCATTTTTAATATGGTTGTCCTTTTCCAAGTTTCATTTCTTCGATTTTTTATTTTCTCAATTCGAGATTTTTAAATTTTTGTTTTTTTTTTAATTGTTAATTTTTCAATTTTTCCGTGTTTCGTATTTACATTTTTCGATTTCTCGATTTATTTAGTTTTTCTTTTGGCTTTTTAATTACCCGATTTTTCAGTTTCTGTATTTTTTCAAATCTTTGAATTCTCGGTTTTTAAATTTTTCGGTTTTTCAGTGTTTTTTCTTTTCGATGTATAATTTTTCAATTTTTCCGTTTCTTTTTTACAATTTCTTAATTTTTTAGTTTTCCGGTTTTCATTTTAAAATTTTTGGATTTTGATTTTTTTTTGTATTTGTGATTGTTTAATTTATATAAGTTTTTGTTTTTCGTTTTTTCAGTTTTTCACTTTCTCCATTTTTAATTAATCAAGGTTTTCTGGTTTTAATATTACAATTTTTCGATTTTTCAATTGTTTTTTCAATTATCCCGTTGTTCAATTTCTCAATTTTTTCATTTTTCAATTCAATTCAAAATTTCGGTTTGAATCAATTTGTCCTTTTCTTGAACAATTAAAAAATGACAAATCGAGAAAATGAATAAACAAAAATCGAGAATTTTAAAAATTTTATATCGAAAAATTGCAGAATTGTTCCGTTTTGTCGATTTTTTAATTTCTCGATTTTTAATTGTTTTGTTTTTGATTTTTCAGTGTTCCAATTTTTCGGTTTTTCAAAAATTCAGTTTGAATAAATTCGTCCTGTTGTTGAACAATTAAAAAATGAAAAATCGAGAATTTGAAAAACATTATATCGAAAAATTGCAGAATTGTTGCGTTTTGTCGATTTTTCAATTTCTCGATTTTTAATTGTTGCATTTTTTAAAGTTTCGGTGTTACAACTATTCGATTTTGCAAAATTTTAATTTGGTTAAAATTGGAGATCAAGAATTTGAAAACTAGCAAAATTGTTTCGTTTTTACAATTTTTCAATTTTTCGGTGTCTCAATTTTTTGGTTTCTCGATTTTCATTTTGAAATTTTTAGATTTTTCATTTTAAAATTTTTGTATACTTCATTCAGTTTTTCGATTTTTATTTTGGAGTTCTTGCATTTTTTAAGTTTTTGTTGTCGATTTTTCAAATTCTCGATTTTTATTTCGTCAGTTTTTTCAGGTTTCAATGTTATAATTTTTAGATTTGACGGTTTCTCGGTTTTTCGATTTTTACATTTTAAGATATTTTTATTTTTTGATTTTTCAATTGTTGATTTTTTACTTTCGCTATTTTTTCAACATTTCGGTATTTCAATTTTTTTTTATTGTTCAGTGTTTCATTTTTTTCAAGTTTTCAGTTTTTTTACTTTACGGTTTTTCGATGTTTATTTTGACATTCTTCAACTTTTGAATTTTACAATTTGTCGATTTTCCTATTTCTAGAAAATTTTGTTTTCCGTATTTTCTATTTTTTTTTTTATTTTTCAAATTTTCAGTTGTTTTTCAATTATCGAAGTTTTCAGTTTCTCAAGTTTTAATATTACAATTTTTAAATTTCTCGGTGTTCCAACTTTCGTTTTTTTCTATTTTTGATTTTCAATTTTGCAATTGTTCGATTTTTCTGTTTTTAAATTTTCAGTTTTTTTCATTTTTAAGGTTCAGTTTTTCCTTTTCCAATTGTTGACCTCTTAATTATTCGATTTTGAGTTTTGTTATTTTTGCAGTTCTTCGATTTCTCAATTTTTCAGTTTTACAATTTTCCGATTTTTTTGATTTTTTGAAATTTCATTTTTAATATGGTTGTCCTTTTCCAAGTTTCATTTCTTGGATTTTTTATTTTCTCAATTCGAGATTTTTAAATTCTTGTTTTTTTTATTGTTAATTCTTCAATTTTTCCGTGTTTCGTTTTTACATTTTTCGATTTCTCGATTTTTTTAGTTTTTCTTTTGGCTTTTTAGTTACCCGATTTTTCAGTTTCTGTATTTTTTCAAATCTTTGAATTCTCGGTTTTTAAATTTTTCGGTTTTTCAGTGTTTTTTCTTTTCGATGTATAATTTTTCAATTTTTCCGTTTCTTTTTTACAATTTCTTAATTTTTTAGTTTTCCGGTTTTCATTTTAAAATTTTTGGATTTTGAATTTTTTTTTTCGTATTTTTGATTGTTTAATTTATATAAGTTTTTGTTTTTCGTTTTTTCAGTTTTTCACTTTCTCCATTTTTAATTAATCAAGGTTTTCAGGTTTTAATATTACAATTTTTCGATTTTTCAATTGTTTTTTCAATTATCCCATTGTTCAATTTCTCAATTTTTTCATTTTTCGATTCAATTCAAAATTTCGGTTTGAATCAATTTGTCCTTTTCTTGAACAATTAAAAAATGACAAATCGAGAAAATGAAGAAACAAAAATTGAAAAATTTTATATCGAAAAATTGCAGAATTGTTCCTTTTTGTCGATTTTTCAATTTCTCGATTTTTAATTGTTTTGTTTTTTATTTTTCGGTGTTACAATTTTTCGGTTTTTCAAAAATTCAGTTTGAATAAATTTGTCCTGTTGTTGAACAATTAAAAAATGAAAAATCGAGAATTTGAAAAACAATATATCGAAAAATTGCAGAATTGTTGCGTTTTGTCGATTTTTCAATTTCTCGATTTTTAAGTGTTGCATTTTTTGAAGTTTCGGTGTTACAATTATTCGATTTTGCAAAATTTTAATTTGGTTAAAATTGGAAATCAAGAACTTGAAAAATAGGAAAATTGTTTCGTTTTTACAATTTTTCAATTTTTCGGTGTCTCAATTTTTTAGTTTCTCGATTTTCAGTTTGAAATTTTTAGATTTTTCATTTTAAAATTTTTGTATTCTTCATTCAGTTTTTCGATTTTTATTTTGGAGTTCTTGCATTTTTTAAGTTTTTGTTGTCGATTTTTCAAATTCTCGATTTTTATTTCGTCAGTTTTTTCAGGTTTCAATGTTATAATTTTTAGATTTGACGGTTTCTCGTTTTTTCGATTTTTACATTTTAAGATATTTTTATTTTTTGATTTTTCAATTATTGATTTTTTACTTTCGCTATTTTTTCAACATTTGGGTATTTCAATTTTTTTTTTTATTGTTCAATGTTTCATTTTTTTCAAGATTTCAGTTTTTTTATTTTACGGTTTTTCGATGTTTATTTTGACATTCTTCAACTTTTGAATTTTACAATTTGTCGATTTTCCTATTTCTAGAAAATTTTGTTTTCCGTATTTTGTATTTTTTTTTATTTTTCAAATTTTCAGTTGTTTTTCAATTATCGAAGTTTTCAGTTTCTCAAGTTTTAATAGTACAATTTTTAAATTTCTCGGTGTTCCAACTTTCGTTTTTTTCTATTTTTGATTTTCAGTTTTGCAATTGTTCGATTTTTCTGTTTTTTAAATTTTCAGTTTTTTTCATTTTTAAGGTTCAATTTTTCCTTTTCCAATTGTTGACCTCTTAATTATTCGATTTTGAGTTTTGTTATTTTTGCAGTTCTTCGATTTCTCAATTTTTCAGTTTTACAATTTTCCGATTTTTTTGATTTTTTATTTTCTCAATTCAAGAGTTTTAAATTCTTGTTTTTTTTTATTGTTAATTTTTCAATTTTTTCGTGTCTCGTTTTTACATTTTTCGATTTCTCGATTTTTTTAGTTTTTCTTTTGGCTTTTTAATTACCCGATTTTTCAGTTTCTGTATTTTTTCAAATCTTTGAATTATCGGTTTTTAAATTTTTCGGTTTTTCAGTGTTTTTTCTTTTCGATGTATAATTTTTCAATTTTTCCGTTTCTTTTTTACAATTTCTTAATTTTTTAGTTTTCCGGTTTTCATCTTAAAATCTTCAGATTTTGAATTTGTTTTTTTTTGTATTTTTGATTGTTTAATTTATATAAGTTTTTGTTTTTCGTTTTTTCAGTTTTTCATATTCTCCATTTTTAATTAATCAAGGTTTTCAGGTTTTAATATTACAATTTTTCGATTTTTCAATTGTTTTTTCAATTATCCCATTGTTCAATTTCTCAATTTTTTCATTTTCGATTTTTCAATTTTCAAATTTTTCGATATTTCAAGTTTCATTTTTTCGGTTTTTTCAAGTTTTCTTTACTTTTCCAATTCTTCGATTTCTCAATTTTTTCATTTTTCAATTCAATTCAAAATTTCGGTTTGAATCAATTTGTCCTTTTC